CTAGTGTTTTTAGATAACACCCTGGCGTGTAGGCCTTGTATTTACAAAAGTACCCCATACTTGTGCGATAATCCTGGTATAGGCATATCTCTAGGCTAAGGCATGGCTCGTCCCCACTGTAGTACCTACCATTAAGAGCTATTGATCAAAGCGCATACCCCGGTCACTTGTTCGAGACCCTTCTGTGATACAGATGAGTTCACGTCCTGTCCTAATCAAGGCATCTAGACATTGAGCTGGCCTCACTAAGGTGATGCGGGTGATACTATCACATACTATTGAAACATTTTGTTTTCAGCTGAAGTATGTGATAGATCTGGACTGGCGGTGTGAAAAGAACCCTTGCGCTTGGAGCCGTTGCCCACATGGTGCAAGCGGCGAACGCCGACTGCTCAAAGAGGGTTTCGTGTTTGACAGACAATCCCTACACTTTCTATGCTATGCTTACGGCTACATACACCTACGGCTACATTTCACAACAAATCTTGTCAACACGGGTCAGGCCATACTGTCATAAAATGCTATCTCTAGAAGACCTTCCGGTGCCTACTGTAGAGAAGCAGGTTGACATTGGTAGAGAGATTGTCATTCCATGGATTCATCGAGAGCTCGCCTTGGGCACTGGCTTCTCATCGAAACTTGTATCTACACCAAATCCTTGGATCACCGCCAAATCTCCCTTTAACATTGAAGTACTTAGAAAGCAGCGACTGCTTTATGACGGCAAAGTGGAGGGCAGACACAACTTTCGCGATGCTGAGTCCACCTCTCACTCGACTGGCATGGAGCATACGAGTGGCAGTTTGGGAGTAACAGTTGGATGCTCATTCCTGAGTGCAAGCGTGACAGGGTCGTATGACAAGACAGTCCTAGAGACCAAAGATGTACGTCAACCATAGTCTCGTCGCAGTATCAGTTGGCTGATATATGGTAGACGTATAGCGTGTCGCGCACCTGTTTGGTCCGCGGCGGAGTCATAAGGTTCAAAGCAGAGCCTCGTCTGTCGTATGAAGCAGAGATGCTGCTGAGAGAACCCAATGGCCAAGCCAAATTCCAGGAAGTCTACGGGGACTACTACGTCTCGTGCTACATCCTGGGAGCGGATGCAGGTGTTTACGTGGCTACAAGTGATGACACTGTGGATACTAAAACGAAGGAAAAGGTGACTGTGAAAGTCAAGGTCCTGTTTTTCACGGCCAGCAAAACTTTTGAGAAAGAAGAGTCGACACACAACGAGATCTTTCAGGTGACCATGAGCGGCTACGACACACTGACCAACACTTGCCACGGTTACCCGCCTAAGAAGGAGGGCTTGGAAAAGGCTTCTCAGGCTCAGTTCAATGAGGTGAGAAGACAGAGCATAGGATATCTTCAGAATGTAGATAAAATGCCTTTCCGTGTCAGTGAGCGGATGCGGGAGTTGGGGTTAGTCAATGACCGGGATGAGTTGGAGTGGCGTCATTGTTTAGATATATGTCGGGCTGGATTAGTAGTCCAGGTGATTCTGATGCCATATCGTTATTTGAGAGACTATCAGATAGCGCTATACAGGAATTAGCGATTGACCGTCATATAGTGATTGTCATTTCTTTGAAGGGTTATATAGAATGAGATACAAATAATAGCAGGAGGAGATCAAGAGCCTATTATGTAGCCAGTGTAAGCCATTGGAGGTAGTTCTATGTACAAAGTTTGCTCCTGACAAGCAAGAGGCACCTTTGGATGCTGATCAGTAGGAATCATTTACGGTCTTTCACTCAATATTGCAGATGAACCAGAACTTAAATAGCAAGAAGATGACGTATCAAGAGTGCAAACTAGTTTTAGTGAGACTATGAGAAAGATTGAGGAAAGTCGAACTAATTGTCTACCGCAACATGTGCTCTACTCATCAAGACCATAGAACACGCCCAAGCGATCAAATGCTGATCCACTTTCACCCCAGAAACCTTTGAACGAGTAGTTTGCTACTGGAGCATCTGTCCACAGCGTATCTGACTGTTCTGGCGGCGCGTCCATTCCTAGCTTGGCGGACTGACCCTTGGCGGTAGTCAACGTGATGGAACTGATGACGTTGACCGGGAAATCAGGAAACTTGCCAGCCGTGATCTGGACTGACGTGATATGATCGCCGACGTTAGTCACTGCAAAGGTCTTCGGTGTGCTGTTCGGGGGATGACCTGGTTTGCCGTCGTGACTGCGGAAGTGAGATGGCTTGTCGGTGAAGTCAAGCTGATAAGCCACGATGAAGCCACTGCCCTTCTTGTCGTTGATCCAGACGCTGACGCTCTTGACAATGTGGCTGTTTGTCACGACGGAGAAGTCATTGAAAACAGAGCCGGGCTCATGGTTGGTGTGATCACCTGCCCACGCTGTCATGAGAAACTTGGAAGACTTGGGGTCCCCCAGAGCTTTCTCGTACATGGGCTTGAAGTGTTCTGGCAGATCCTTGGGAGCATAGTATAGCCTCTCATGTAGCGCTGGGACGGGGGCGGCAGAGGCAGCGACCAACTTGGGTTTCTCAATCTTGGTAGCAGTCTACAAAACACACGTCGTTAGAACAAGAAGAAAGAGAAAACGACACATGTTTGTACAAAACTTACAGGGAGTAGCCTTCGAAAGAAAGTGGGATTAGTGTACTGAAGATCTCGATCCGGGTCCAGCGCAAGCATGGGATTTGCAATGACTTCATCCACCTCCTTGACGATCTTGAGCATCTCCAGTCTGCAGTCCTTCCTGGCCTTCTCTAGACCGAACTCATCAGGTTCGTACGGAATGCCGACGTTGTCAGGGTAGTCGAAGTTCTTGGATGACTGAGAACTTGCGGTATGGGTGCCGCCAGGAGAGTGCAAGAGGTTGACCAACTCTAGCACTTGCTCGCTGCTGTCACCAGCGTTTTCGCGAGCCGTGTCGACTAGATCTTGCAAGAAGTGAAGAGCTTCCATCTTCTTGGGCTTGCTGATCTCCCTCTTGGCATCAACCTTTCTAGGCTCTATCTTTGCCATCCTCAGTGTAACATTATTGTCCTCATAGTCGGCAATGTCTACGAGTTCATGGTAATTAGTCTTGTACGCCGCATTTCTCACGAAGCTTCTACTAACCTAGGTGGATCTTCTTCCAGATGTTCTTGTAAGCCATCATGGCATCCAAGAGATCGTTGGTATAGAGACTGGCAACGTCGTAGTCAAGAACAGTGGGCTTGGGGCTGAGCTTCTGGAAGCTGAGAAGGTTTTCGTACTTTGTGAGTATAGCGCTAAATGGTATCGTCAACAGTCGGCCTTCCAAAGAAATTAAATACGGAGGAATAACATACTAGGTTCTCTGCGGGCATCGAGCAACGTTGTAGGGGAATGCGGCCGCCGCTTTGGTCAGTGACTCGATGGACCATAGCTCATCGGCAGGTTTGATATCCCCACCTCCATTCCAGTTAACGGTGATGGTAGTCTCGCAGTTTTTGAATGCATTCGTCTTATCAAGACTGAAAGAAGCATTCAAACTGCCACCTGCTGCGCGGCCCTGTCCGAAACTCGCTTCAAGGGCAGCTTTGATATCTGACTCGGTCGCCTTGTCGGTGATCTTGACAGACACGATGGCATCAAGCTCACCCCCTTCAATGAACCCAGAGATATAACAATCTCCGTATACCTTCATGAACTTGCCAGTGTTCCAGACGCCATCGATGGCATTGAACTGCCGCACGTCTTCAGCCATGATGGTTTGGTTGACGACAGTCACCTGGACAAAGAAGTTGAGGGTGCTCTCCTTGAACTTGTCAGAGTTGACGTAGGATCCTGCAAGGCCACCACCTGCTGTGGCTGTCTTGATGCTCAAAGCTGCCGAGACATTCATTGCATCTGTCACTTCAGAGATCTTGTCGACGTGGCGTGTGCAATACGAGACAATCTGACTGACTTGCTTGGTGTCGCCCTGGTAATGGTCGCCACCAGGGGACTCTGTGTCATAGACAACAGCATCGTTCATCAAGATCTCATGTGTATAGGAGTTGAAACTAACAATGTCAGTATTGGTGGGATACTGACGCTATCGCGCTTACCCTTGGCCAATTCTCATAGCAGCATGATACGGGGCAAGGTTGAGAGCCATCTTGTGAGTTCGCAATGACTATTGTGTCAAGACAGGCTATCCTGATGTTCGATGGAGTGTGATGAAAGGTTTTCTCAAGAAGAAGAGACTAGAGCTCTGCAAAGTGCAAGTTCCCGCTAGGTTCCCTACCCAAAGTCTGGCGGTGATCATATATTCTATTCATCCGAGGTCCTACTAGATATAATTGATGAAGCAGCTATTCTTCGTGCATTCTCTAAACTCACACCTCTCTCATAAACCAGAGGAGCATATGCAATTGTCGCGAGTACGTAGACGTGTTACTTTGGTCAATCCAGAGCCGTCGATGGCCCAGATTGGCTTCTAGTGCGGAAAGGCCGGCTCCAGGAATATCCCCTGCATAGACTATTGGCGCACTATTGATCTCCACTTCCTTTACACACCTCTCAGTAGTTTATCTTTGTATCCGTAGCACCGAGCACATTTAGATTATGCCTAAGCGGGTAACATCTGTGAACGTGCTTTTTAGGTGTAGTCAATCTCACCTTTTGTTCGCAATGATGCGGGGCACTTACTAGCCGCAGAGGAGCCTTCGTCGCTGGTCGGTCAAGGTGTTTCACTCACCGAGTTCTAGACTGTTCTTACATAGTCTTCGGTATCACCTGACGATCAAATCAGCTCTTTCGGGCATCGTATGATTATTCGATATCATGCATGGGATGGCAGCAAGCCATCACAATCCCCGTTCCATTCATTCTTTTAGGGCCACCAAGATATCTCTCTACAGAGGCCCGAACCGACTTGAAGTGGCAAGCCTTCTTTCCTGTGTTCTTATCAGTATTCCAATCTTCCTATTCCTACCATTACATCGTCCCTGCGTGCTGGAACGGATCACCAGCTCCCATTTAATCTCATACTTTTCTTTCTGTATTCTCAGCATGGAAGCCGCTCATGATGCATGGCCCGCACCATCTGGTGCGCAAAAGAACCTTGGGCCATTATCTAAGCTGGGTGAATTGATCAAGGTAGACCCGGAGAGGGTCAGCGTGATCAACATTTATGCATATCAGCAGATCTCTTTCATCACTCCAGCAGACCTGTGGAATGCATTGGATGGCAAAGAACAGATCTTTTTTGTGGACTGTCAAGGTATCTTACGGCCCAAGAACTCACCCACTCAACAATCTGGATGTCATGGCTAATCTAAATATCACATTCTGTATGCATCAGACAACAAAATTGCCAAATGGATGTTTAATGGAGCCATTAAATGGGATATTAATGACAATGACGATTACAAGAACGAAGAATTCTTCCTTAGACGCAAGGGTTACTCGGGGGGAGATAATCTTTTCCCTACTGATCCGCGCAGGTTGCCCGATGCGGTTATCTTCAACTGTGAAGTAGGTGTGAATCGTTCCCCTATGATGGCTTTCTGGTACATGAGGTATCTTCTCAAGACTTATCCATCAGTTGTCCCTGACAGTCAAAATGTGAGAGGACTCAAGACCAGGGTGTATATTCTGCAAGGCGGTATTGCGGGTCTCGAAAAGCCTGGGACACCAAAGGGCCTACAGAGCTCATGTAAGTGAAACTCCATCAAACGGATGATTCCAGCTCCAATGCCAAAGGAATCATGCTAACCTGTTTCAATGTCGCAGTATGCAAACCATCTACGGAATCCCAGGCTGGCGGTTCTGGTAGATCTTTCGCTTCTCCCCCCCAACCCACAAACCAGAATAACACGAGGCACGTAACATCTGGGGTGAACAGACCTAATTGAGTGATTCTTGTGTTTTCAGCGTCGGGTCCGGTATCAAATAGTGGTTGGAGATGGCTACTAGATGAAGCCGATGCAGTCCTCACATCTGAAACGTGGGATCCTCGCGTGCGAAAGGATCGCAGTGAGTTACAATGATAGTGGTTAGCTAGATATGGAGAGAGAGCAGATTGGAGAATTTCTGCGATATCGATCATTTCACTATGACTATGGCTTTAACCCAGTGATAGTTGGTGATCCGCCCATTAAGTCAAAAGTGACAAGAGAGCACTAAATGATAGCCTTGTGTTACAAGACAGCCAGACTCATAGTGAATCCTGGCTATCTGGTGATCCGCTCCTGCTTAGTGTGACGCGTGATATACTCCAGATGAAGTTGTAACAACGAAGAGTTGTCATTAAAGCACAGAAGGTATGGCCTGCTTCAGCTGTTCATCGTTCCACATAAGAAGATCCATAAGCTTCTCAATACTTTTCAGAATCTAAGGGTTAAGACGGATATGTTAAACTAATGCTAAAATTGCGTTATTGACTTCAATATTGAGTCTGTCAATTCGAAGACATCAACTAGAGATCAAGCAATGAGTAGGTATGTCGGACCCTGAATTATAACTCTAGACGCCCCCAGTTGAGAGTGGACGGACCCGAAGTCTCAATTTCGAAGGATCTGAAATGCAGGTAGCAATTCGTCAAGTTTCTTAATTCCTTGCAAGTGGCTCGCTTGCCCGAAGCTGAATGTGCGTCTCTAGCTTTCCTAACAAGTGATAGTGGTGCTACCGGCGCCTACTAGCTAATGAACCAGAAGGGCTAGGCTTTTGGCACTCAATCCGTCTAGCCCAAGGCAGTCTAGGTTCGGCACGGTACGGCACGGCCTCTCCTTGTAGCTGTTTGATTGTGGCGAGCTGGCATATAAGCGAACTGAGACATGCATGCAAGTGCACCTACCCCGGAGACTCCGATAAAGAGCGTTGTGTTATTGGCTTTTTCGCTGGTAGCTGAGTACATGGGGTTGCGGAAGTCGGCACATAGTGAGTTGCTTAAGCGAGGGATTGAAAGCGTAAGATGACTAGCTGTCGGTGGATTGGCTATCTTGGACCGTAATCCTTGCTGCGTCCTGTAGATGAAGCTGAAAAGTATCGCTCACTATCCGCGAGTATCCCATGACTCACGGTCTTTGCGGCCTGCTTTACATTATGAACTTATACGGGAGCTAAGGGCGTCACGGTTCAATAATCGCAATATGCGCCCGGAGAATACTATTAAAAACCATGCAACCTAAGGGTCTAGATGTGTGATAGTGGCTGCTTCTTGCACGTGTCCTGGAGATTTAAACCTGCATTGATGTTTGCCTTCGTTGTCTGCTTTAGCGCGGGGTCAATCATTTCCTCCAGGGTTGGACTAGTATACACAGATTGCTCCAGAGAGGGCGTCCTTCGAGATTTTCATACTCATTCTGTCTCCATGCTATGAAACTACGCAGACCGTTATCATATTCTCCCCGGCTAAGATCTTATCAGTCCAATTCCAGAGTATTAAACTCCAATAACGTTAAAGATGTAATTCCAGGTTACAATATACTTAGAACCGACATATTAGGTTCTTATAGTTGATATAAAAGTAATATTTATTTGAGCGCCGAGTGATCACACAACTGTTCTTTAGGCCTTTTTCAATTTCTTGGCCTCAATCTGTACCGACTCGGGAATCCACTTCTCCAAACTCTCACCCTCTGGTTTCCAACCAAGATACTTCCTCGCCCTCTTAGCCTCACCACGACTGTTCAAGCCCCACGAGAGAGCCTGGAAACCCAGCTTCTTCTGTGCCTCATCAACATCGAGAACCTTGGTCTCATCAGTCTCAATAACGCCCTGCTTTTTAGCCTCCTTGGCAATGAGAGCAGAGATCTGACTCCACTTATGTTTGCCGTTCTCGGCAAAGAAATAGCCCTTTGGACCCCAGATTTCCTGCTCGTCAGACTGTTTTTCAGATGAAGCTGCGCGCTCAGAGAGAAGAACGATGAGGTTGGAGAGATCGTGGACGTGCACGTTGTCCCATTCTGTCTCGCCGGCGCCAATGATGGGACCGAAGCCCTTCTCGAGAGTCGTCTCGGTCAAGCCTGGGATTTGACGACTTCGCTGGTTGGCAGGTCCTCGACCGGTTCCATATATGGTAGGCGGGCAGACAATGGTAACTTTTACTGCGCTGGGATCCTTGGCAGCTTCGTCGAGAACAATCTTGTCGACATCGCGGTGGAAAGCGGTGTCAGGCAGAGAAGTGACCTTGTCAACTCCCTCGAGATCGTTGTAAGCTTGTTCGGGAAGAGGGCCTTCTCCGTAGCGCTTGTTGTCCATGTCATACCAACAGAGAATGCCTGTGCCGCTGATGTGAATCCAGTAGCCGGGGTTTGAGCTCGAGTGAGTAGATCGCAGGCCGGCAGCAATAGCTTTGGCAGCTCCTTGGTGGTCAGAACTGTCAGCGGTATCTGCATTGGTCAATACTTCGAATTGAACCAGAAGATCTCCGTTCCCTTACGAATGACAATGTCGGCCTCCGAGGCCGCCTTCTCAATGACCTTGGAGTCATCCAAGGATCCAATCGCCAACTTCACATCAGGGTATTGCCTCTGCACATCCTTTCCCTTGTCCTCACTACGGACAAGGATGGCATACTTCCAATCAGGATGCGCTTTATGCAATGCGTAGAAAACATCACCTCCAATGAAACCGGTGGTGCCAGTACTTTAACCGGGGGTCAGCGTCAGCTTATGGTGACATTGGGAGAGAACCTTACATGAAGACGCTCTTTGCAGCCATTTTCGTAGATTCGTTCAGATTAATCGCTTGATACGAGTTTGATGATTTTAATGATGATTTTGAGGATGTCTTTGAGAAGAGGCTGATGAAATAGACTTATAGAGTTCGATTGCTGAGATATCGAAGACGTCAAAGAAGCACAGTGACGTCATGCTGAGCAAATCATGCCCCTCATAACGTTAATGGCTTAGCAATCTGTTAAGAATTGCACCAAAAATATGTACACTGACTAACAGTTGGGAGCCAGCCCCATCTTGCTGTGGATAAAGTCTTTTTCAGAAGAATGCTTCAATAATTGGACAAGCTTGCTTTTCAATCAATCTATTTTACATGACGTGCTCGAGGTCAAAATTATCTTCAGCCTCTTCTAGAAATTTCCTAACCGAAGACCCAAAGGCCAAGTCCGACCAGATGAATTGGTTCAATATGTCGCTTGTGTTAGATAACGGGCAGTGCAGGCTGGGTCTTTCGAAACCTGTCGAACGCAAAAGTGCGGTGTAACTTGAACGCACAGGCCCTTCTGGAGCGAATACTCCGCCAATGCATATCAGCCAAAGCAACAAGTCGGCATGCTCATCCCATACAGGCTCATAACGGACCTTTTCAATTTCTTTGAGGAGCTGCGCAGTAATATTAGACTTGGAAGTTAGCGAGTGCTTCTAGAGGTGATATGGGGACTCACTGGAATAACTAATGCGCACCAAACTTTGCAGCACAACATTACTGAGCACATATACGCTGCGAGATGGCAAGCTTTGGATATCGGACAAGTGTTTGGGAGGGTCTGAAGACGAGATTGTATGGATGCTGTATGGCTGTTGATGTTTACCGTTGAGACTGGCCGGCCAGTACGTTGATAAATGTTTCTGATGCATTGAAGAGCATGGATATCTCTGACTATATCCAAGAATTCTTGGCTGAATAGATGAGATCGTACTTGAAAGCCCAAGGGCAGCGCAAAAAAATCTGGAGCTATAGAGTCTCGTTGCCATCGGAGCTCAGTAAAGGTCGTATGGTCGACTATACGTTTTGATCCCACCATAATCGATGAGTTCAAGTCCTGCCTGTTGACGTGTGAGAGAAGGCCTTGGATTTTACAGGATTACATACCAGAATATGGCGCGTTTGATGCCCTGAGTGAGATTAACGACGACTGGTTCACAGGCGTTGAGGAGGTACTGTATTGCACCCATATGAAGCTGAACCTGCGAAGTTGTCCCAAGCCGTGCCTGGTAAGTCAGTACCAGTATAATTTCATATGAGCGAGGATCTCACCTCAACACCAACTAATAGCAGTATGGCACCAATAGTTGACTCCGACACGACTTTGTCAGGTGCACTTATTCGCTCACGAATGTGCTGGATCGCTTGACCTCGGTACACAAGACATTCCTTATTGATGACCCCGCCGTTTGCAGTGAAGGCCAAGGACAGCATCACGGCATTTAAGAGAGCGGGATCAACGAGACCAGATCGGAACACTGACTGAAAGTTCTGGAAGTCATCCTCAACGCTGAAGACAGGTTCGGGAGCTTGGCGGGCGTTAACTGGGCTCCATTAGCAAGATTCCCAAGGGCTTGCGGAGTACTCACAGTCGTTCAGTAAAATCTGTAGCCGTTTGGAGTCGACGGCGAGACTTTGGAACGGGTCAAGGAGACTGGCTGAAAGCGAAACGGGCGATGGGACAATGCGCTTGGTGCAATGCCTTCTGCAGATACTTCTCGTTTGTTCCCGTTCGTCTTCTATTGTCTTCACAGAAAAGTGTTGCATCGATTCTTGTTGCTTTTGTCGCTTTTTCTGTAATGCCTGTTTCACTGCATGTGATCGAGCGAGGCGTTTGGCAGCCTTATCAGTGGTCTTATCCGGAGGTCCCTGTACAGCGACGAACTGAAAGTGCGCCACTAATCATGGTCAGTACACACTGTAAGGGTTGACTGCAAAACATACTCTTTTTCTCCTAGATTGGGTCCTCGCAGCGCACCGAGTCTACAATTGTGGCAAGTATTATGGCGCCATTAATGCAAGAAGACCTGATATCTTGGTTGTGTCTCACTCTCACCGTAAGCTTCACGCTGCTTAGAAATCGTCCACCGCAAGATCCACATTTCCCCTGCTGTAGATCAGCTAAACCGTCTTGGGCAACATCTCGTTTCCTATTTCGGAAGTATCTCGTTCCTGCATCGAGGGCAACCTCATTTCCATATTTTGACAGTTCTAAGGCTTAAGCACGAGGTCTAAGCGTCAACGTTTTGATAGAACATGATCGATAATATTATCATGGTAGATTTATCAGCTTGTAATCTTCTGATGCCTTTATTGCAAACTCTTGTATGTCATCAGTCCGAAATCCCAAGCTATAAAGCGAGCAAGATGGACGGGCGATGGAAGGATTTCCCATCATTCAGTCTTCACTGAACAGTCTTGAACCTACATCATCTACCTCGATAAAACTTCAATAAACCGCAACCAACATGACAGAGTCACGCCTTTTCCAGCCCATGAAGATCGGCAACATCAAAGTCCAACATCGCATTGGCATGGCCCCTCTTACACGTCTTAGAGCAAGCATTGACCGTGTACCCAACGCCCTTATGAAGGAGTACTACGGCCAACGCGCTTACATACCTGGTACTCTTATCATAACCGAGGGTACTCTTGTCTCTCCTGCTGCAGGTGGAGGTTTCGCCAGAACACCTGGAATCTGGAACAAAGAGCAAGTCAGCGCCTGGAAAGAGATCACAGATGAGGTGCACCGCAAGGGCAGTTTCATCTTTGTACAATTATTTGCAATGGGTCGTGCTGCAACTGTCGAAGTTGCGAAAGATGAAGGAATAGACATTATCGGACCGAGTGCAATCCCGATTGAAGGCAGTCCCGCGCAACCTCGGGCGATGACCTTGAATGAGATTCATGAAATGATCCAGGCATTCGTAACTGCATCGGAGAATGCTATCAAAGCCGGCTTCGATGGTGTTGAGATCCATGGTGCCAATGGCTACCTGCTCGACCAATTCCTCCAAGACGTCAGCAACCAGCGTAACGACAAGTACGGCGGCAGCATTGAAAACAGGTCTCGCCTTATCACTGAGATCCTGGAACGCGTTGTACAAGCCATAGGCTCAGAGCAGGTTGGTATTCGTCTCAGTCCATGGAGTACGTTCCAGAGCATGCGCATGAAAGACCCAATCCCTCAGTTCACAGACGTCATCAACAAGACAGGCCATTTGAACTTGGCCTACATCCACCTCATAGAGTCCCGCATCTCAGGCAGCCAAGATTGTCAAGATCATGGCAGTGAGAAGCTCGACTTTGCATATGATCTCTGGAAGGGAACTTTTCTTATTGCCGGTGGGTATAAACTCAAAGAAGCGGAGAGGCTCGTTGATGAAGAACATCCCGACAAAGAGATCATGGTCATGTTTGGAAGGAACTTCCTGGCGAACCCGGACTTGGTGTATAGATTCAAGGAGGGCTTGGAACTTAACCCCTATGAGAGGAAGACGTTCTACAACAGCGATGTCGAGGGTTATGTCGATTACCCGTTTGCCGTTAGAAAGGACGCCGTGGTCTAGAAGTGATTTCAGATTAGTTGGTATCTTGCTGCAGGACGCTTCTTAGTAAGGGCATCGCGTCTAGGGGCTCAGCCTTGTTCTTTGATATAGCCCGTCGTCTTCCTCCTTCTTTTAGACTTTCAATCCCAAACGCCTGCTCAAAAGTCAATATTATGCCTCCCTACGATTCTGTACAATTTCTGTCTCTTGCCTAGATGTGCACGCTATCTGTGAATGGAGTCTTATTTCACGGTGTACGCGCTCTGCATAGTGCCCTCTGGCGCCAATACGGTTTTGGAAACCCAACTACAATGCCCATCATCCAAATCATCGCTTGAATTTTCCCGCCGCTTATTCTAGAAAGTTCCAACTCCATATCCAGCCTTGGTTCTGTTCCAAGGAATGATTGTCCAGAAACGAGTCACCTGCATCATATGTGATATCTCCAGTGGATAGAAGGCTGGCCGCTGTTTCTAATAGTCAGTGTCTATAATACTCGGTAGTTTTTTTTCAGTTGATCGTGAATGCTCACCTTGTTCATATTGTAAAATCGTGTCCTCCACTGACGCGTCGGCGCAGACAGTAATATCTTGATCTGTGTAGTTCATGCTCAGTGTATCAGTTATGCTACCATTATTCCCCGTCGGCGGTGAGCTCAAATCCATGTTTGTCGTTAGAATCGACCCTTGTCCAGAATATCTTCTATCAGGCACTGTAGAGCTATTTTTGCTTCCTTCTCCGGGAGGGACGTCTGAGTGTGCACTACTAACAGGCGCAGTCTCTGGCCTATCGTTGCCTGCTTTTGCCATCACAAGATCCATCAATCTCTTTGTGATATTCAGACTCTGTGCGGCAACAATTGATCTATCCTTTAGAAGGTTCTGTACCTGCATCAGCTGCCGTATTCCAGATATTGCCTCCGTCGAGTCGGAGGCAAAAGGATCTAGGGTTATCGAAATACACAGCGTCACACTCGCCGTCAAGAGGTGCAATGACACAACAGCTACAGCATATGTCTCGGATGCTTCTAAGAGGTATGGAGTTGAAGCGACCCTTGATATCTGGAGCGCAGCTTCCCTACACTCTTGCATCGCCAGCCTAAATGGGTCAGCCTTCGAGGTGGCTGTGTCTGTTGAAGTCGAGCTGGCCAGCCTGAATGATAGAAGTGGCCTATGGATTAGAATTCTCGCATTCTCGTATGCCAGCTTGAGAGAAAGTGCTTGTAGGTGGAACAGATAGTTTTCAAATTCGTGTCCAGTTCTTTGGCGGTCCCTCGTCGCTGTAGTGTCCGACAAAGAGTCATGGCTATCAAATTTTAGCTTCGGAGTCAAGTTTCCATGCAACTCATGGAGACGCCTGTTTAAAACCGTAACTTTATCGAAAAGACCTTTTAGGCTGGCCTTTCCCTTCCGATCACCATGTCTAGTCCCATATAGCTCAACCAATGCGGACTTGACAATAGCCGACAGCCTTGATATTGCACACTTATAGAACAACAACGATGGTCCCATCGTCTGGCGAGACTTCTCTATCGATCCAGAGTACTTATCATATGGATCCAGAGGCTCGACATTGCAATCGGTATCGGAAAATCCCAGAGGAAATCCATAAAGCATTGAGCAGAACGTATCGATCTCATAGACGGCCCACCATGCCCGTTTCCGGTCTTGTATCTGCTGATTTAAAGACTGATCGCTAAAATCTCCTGGTGTCGTTTTTCGATGAAGTCCCAGTGCTTGGGCGATTCGCAACCCAGAACCCGATAGTGGCCAAGCCATTCCAGGTTCACCGTGGTACAAATAATAACTTGCCAGCAAAACGCAGAATTGCACCGCTTCAAGAGAACCTCTTGAGACAACATCCAAAAATCTCAATTTAAGGACGCCCAATATCCGGTCTTTCAGTTCTTTGGGATCGATATTATGAGATTTGAGCTTGCTCTTTTGCACCCCGAGGTGATGCGAGCTGGTCGCGAAAACAGCCAAGAGGACAGCTACAAAGCCTATACCTCTGGATGGACCAGAAAGAGAAATTGGGTATTTGTAGAGATCTTGGAACTTTCTTCTAAAATCATCTTGGTAAAAGACTAATATGAACCAGTGGATACGATCAAAATAGTTGTCGACCAAGAGAGTCGCTGGTCCAAGATCGGGTAACAAAGACAAGAGTTCCTTCTCGGCAGCCGACAGCTTGGAATTTAGATTGCCTTGTTGTAGTTGTTTGTCTCTGGGACGTTGAGCGACAGGTATTTGGAAGGGATTCTTGTTGTCAGTTTCGGTAGCGGGCTTTTCTTGGGCCCAAGTCTCTGATCTTAGAGCGGAGAACTCAACGCCTTCTGGTGAGTCAGCTTCATGCTGTTGAAATGCCTTACTTCCACGTTAGTGACGAGATAATGAAGGGTTAGGCCTTTTGTATGCTTACCTCTTCAACTAGCTTCACGGTTGAACTGGAATTCCAGGCTGATTCTACAACCGGAGCAACAGCAGCTCCCGGCTGGGCTCTGACTGACTTGGTCGTTGTCGTGATTTGCGTTCGTGTACTTTCATAGGGTCTCCATCTCGAACTGTCTGATGCAATGCATTCCACATTTGCTCGTAAGCATAGAGTGCATGGGCGCTCGATATCACACTATCGCATTCAGTCAACTGATCCATCCCTGATAGAGGTGTGTTTACTTTTAGCTTTTGCTTACGGCATCTCTCGCAAGCCCTGGATACTTTGCGCCGATTCGTCTTCATTACGATTGCTGGATAGTTGGGCTGTGAATGAGAATGTTGTGATGATGAAACATTCGGAATTACTCTTTTCCTTGCCGGACAACTATTTATGGCAGCTCCGTAGTAAATTTTGCCGGAGCCGGCGTTGCCTGAGACACAGTCCCCCTACCCTCGACCAGTGGATTATATTTTTCCAAACCTCCCGACTAATGTTGTAGCAATAGCTGCCACAAGTGCAACAAATTTAATTTTAGTGAATCATCTTAGATACCTATTGCAGTAAAAGCTAGATGCGGAGAGTGATGGATCTGAAATATAGCACTGATAACAAATGCAACTTGTAACTCCGGTTCAAAAAAGTCTTGGTGCTATTTGAACAGGTTATTTATGAAATCTCTCACATTGACCACTTTTGTTCCGCCCCCGACCAACATCAGTATCCTCCGATTGAGCTATCAGCCATGGGCTTGAACGTAACCTCGGTAGGCTCGTTCGTGATCCCCCTCTTAACCGCTTCCTCCATAATCGCAACTGTGGCTGTAGCACCAATACGTGTAACACCTAGCGACATGACGTGCAACAAATCGTCAAGGGTGCGAACTCCTCCAGCCGCCTTGACTTGGACATTCTCGCCAGATTCCTCTACCATGAGCTTGAGATGAGGAATGGTAGCACCCTTGTAATTGTACGTGCCATCCGACTGCTTAACGAAACCATAGCCAGTCGAAGTCTTGACGAAAGCCACTCCAATATCGGAGCAGATCTTGCAAAGACGCACAATGTGTTCCTCGTCCAAGTAGTCATTCTCAAAGATGACTTTGAGAATAGCACCGCGCTTGACAACGACATTGTTGACTTGACGGATTTCATCAGTGACGTAGTTCCAGTCACCGCTGAGTGCTTTGCCGATATTGATGACCATGTCGACCTCATTACCGCCGACAGCAGTAGCGATATCAGCTTCGAAGACCTTGACTGAAATGCTGCTATTTCCATGAGGGAAGCCAATGACGGGGCAGACCAAGACATCACTACCCTGAAGTTCCTGCTTAGCCATGGAGATTGCATATGGTTTGACACAGGCTGTAGCGACGCCGTACTTTTTGGCGATGACAAATCCTTGGAGAACTTCGGCGTCTGTCATAGTGGGATGCAGAAGAGAGTGGTCGATCATCTTGGCGATTTGCCGCAGAGTAACTGTGATCCGGTTGGTGTTGGAATTCATGATGACCTTGTAAGTGGGTGATTACAGTAACGATGACTTTGTTTGGATGAGAGGTGATGACTGAGTGATTACATTTGATTTCTCTCGGAGTCTCACGCTTTATATAACAAGTTCTCCAAGTCTCATATAAGAACACCATTGGCGGCCTTGACAGCCAATTGTCGTTCCCTTTACAGTAATTTGTTCCACCGGAAGACAGAGTGGGGCCATTTAGCAGTTGCAGCAGTGGAGAGGTAGCCGGGCTTGCCTAATCGGGCATTTCCGTTAGTGCATGGGCGTCCATTCAAAGATTAATAAAAACAATATCAGAGATGCTGAAAGTGATCACCACCGCGGTTGTACAGCTGAAAGTGCTAAAAAAAGAACTAGGGTTTGGTATTTATGTAGCCACTTCGTCCAGCCAATAACTACAGGTAACGCTTTACTGCCATGAAGCAAGCATTCATGTAAGGGCAAGTAACAAACCAACCCTATCAGGTTGGACTTAGAGAAGAAATGGCAAAAAGAAGAAGAGAATGGGTATAGAGCAGAAGAAATTCTCATATAATAGTTAAGTTACTTACTATATACCTATATAACCTAAGATTATTAAGACAACTCCTATTTACAATAAGTTAGCTTTTTAAAGTGCAAGGAAATTGGTTTTTATTTCTGAATAACTTACCCAGCATAATACCAGTAAAGTATAACCAATTAATGGTTTTCCTTTTCTTCAAGAGTATTGTTGGCTCGTCACAAACAGTTACATCCCGTTCTGTTTTGCCTGCCGTTTTAAGTGTGTCGAGGCTCTGGTCCTCCAACGCACTCTGTACCGTGAGGACTTGATTGTTTTGAACACGCTGCAAGTTATGGACCCTCTCCTCCACGAGTTGAAGCACATCATCTCTGCCTGGGAAATCACCCATCGCTCTGATCCACCCTGTGAACGATATCTCGCGACGAGGCCCATTCGGCTCGCATGACCAAGTTCGTACCTTGGATAAGGTGCAGTCAAGACGAGCAGCGTTAGCAAACCCCTCCTCTGTTTCCAACCTATCGTTAACGGTATATCGCCATTTACGCCTGAAAGAAAGGGTCTCTGGCTCACTGGGGTCGCCAAAAGTAAAGGTATCTTCCGTTTCGGGTTCTATACCTGCTGCAGTTGGCCACTGAACGACCAGGATTGAAAATCGAAAGTGGTGGTCAGCACCGATTCGAAGAAAGCGCTCTACTATACCAACAAAACGATGATTTACATCATATCTCTCATCGTCTAGCCAGGTATAAAACTCTTTAACGAGGAAGTATTGCCAAATCGAATGGCTCTCACCGACTGCGCTAGAAATGTATGCCTCTTTCCGCCGGAATGTGTCAAAAGCCGGCATCAGATGAGTTCGCATTTCGGGTCTGATGATGTTGAGGTTCAGGAGCATTTCTAAAACTGGATAGGTCGGCGTGAGGATAGAAGCATAGAACAGTAGCACAGCCTTTGATCGAGTATTTGTCGTTCTAGGGTCGTTCTCAATGCTCCATAAGACGTAGTCATTTGTCTCATGGTATGGGAAAAAGAGGGGTGTGAAGGACAGGTGAACGTTGCCTTTGAATCCAAGAACACTTGACATGCCCAATTTACCCTTGACCTGTCTCGATGCGATGTTAAAAATATATTTGCGTGTCCAGACTTCAATGCAGCCATCGAGGGTCGAGTCGTCAACACGTTTTAGCTCCGGCTCAAAGATGGTATCCATACTGCGTAGAAATTCGAATGGTTCGTGATCGAGATGATGCTTTTCACGCAACACCATAAGATCATGTGGGGAGCCCCCCAGTCGCCAATCAACGTCGCTCCCTTGAACTTTCCATCTAGCTAGCGTAAGCTCTGAAAGTATACTGACAGGGTGGGTACCATTCAAGGAGGCGGCCATTTGCTGTTGGATGTCATCATCTGCGAGGAAGTCTGCCACAGACCTGTGGGCGTAACCAATATTCCCCCGGCTGTCGAATTCAACTAGTCCCCCACACCAACCGCTTAGCCTAGTCCGGGCGATCTGCCGCCTTTCCTCCTTTTGCTCTTCTGATAGTTTTGCTTTGAATTTACCTTCCCTGGCAAACCTTGCGTTCAGGTTGTAATCGTCAAGGAAAGAGTACGCCAGTAAGTCCAGATAAATGTAAGTACCCCAACCAGTCACAAAAGCCACAAAGGGGATCATAGCGAGTGTCTGATATGCCATTTTAAGACTGTATTTGTCGAGTTTATTGAGTATATGCCTGTAAAGGTCGTTTAATTCGCTCGGGAATTCACGGACGATGTTGCGGAGCCCAGCAGGCTTGAGCTTGAAGTACCACTGACCACGTACGTTTCTGACGACTAGTGCTACCCAAAAGAAGACGCCGCTAGCCTTTTTGATAATGTACTTCGCCAACGCCGGCCTGAGCCTTGGGGTTTCAGAACTGGGAAGCCTGTCTAGAATATATGCCCTGATATCGTATTGTGTTAGCGTGTGAAGCCGCAGTCTCTTGGCTTTTGAAAACGATTCCATGAAAGGATGCTCCTCTCGGCTTGAAACACAAAGCTTAACATTCGAAGGGAAGGCGGTAGTCCAGCTATGTAGCCGTTCGACAAGATCCATATGGTCGGCTTGTGTTCTGATTTGATATTCGTCCAAGCCGTCCACAAAGAAACAGAAGCTGTAGTTGGCGCATACGTTCTCGCTACGAACAAGAAGGGCGAACGCTTTCCTGATATCATCTCCTGAGAGCGTTGCTTCCGTCTGTGTTGTCCAAGAGGTTTCTCTCGCTTCTCTCCATGCTCTTGGGAAAATGCTGGGTATCAAGTCATGATGGTGTTTGAGCACACTGTGCAGCAGCGAACGGTATAAACCGTCCAGTGATTTTTGATCCTCTGAGCCTGGTCGCCAAAAGAAGAAGCTTGATAACACAAGCTGATTTCCACCTGCATGTAGTCAGCATTATCTTTACAAGAACCATAAAACATTGCACTGACTCGCCCACTCATCCAGTCGCGTTCGTGTTCCCGGGTGATGACTCAAGAATTTCATCAAGGTCGATTTCCCGCAGCCCATCTTCCCTGATATGTGAAAGATTCCTGTTCCAGCTGAAAGCCACGTAAGGAAAGTCTCTCGTGATTCGTGTCGCATCTGTATCTCATCCTTTGTCTTCTTGGTTTCGTAGTCTCGTTTCTCTTCTCTTCTTCTATTTCGTTCTCGCTCACGGAAGTAATGTACCGACGCATCTGAATCATCAGATTCAAGTGTGTCAACGCTGTCCCAGTCATTCGGAGCTGAAGAAACAGACCCTGACTGGTCATTCCCGTCGATATCAAAAATCCACTGAAACGTCTTTTCATGAGCGTTTTCTATCATGTCATGCCTTTTATCCATGTCGTCGTGCTTTAGGCTTTTCAAAATTTGTTTGGTAATACTAGCATGGAGCACTGCTTTTTGTGTGTTCAATAACTGACGGATTGACTCATGGGTATCGATGCTAATCGCTGATAGCTCCGATAACGTAGCCTTTAGTGGATTTAGACTCTCGCTATGTTCTGCAACGTACTGAGAAAGCTTCTCAACGGGGATTATGGTTTTGAAGCCCATGTGAAGCTCAAACTGGCGACGATAAGTATCGAGTCTGTTTTCAAGCTCTTTCCGCTCGCCCTCGTGAAATCTGTTCTTCAATGCTGCCCAAAGGCTCTGCCTTTTGGAAGACAAGTCCTTCGGCTTGATTCGCCCCAACAAATTGAGTAGCTCCATACAGACAACATGGCAGTTTTTCGCGAGATCAACGAGTTCTTTTTCTTCACCAAATAGCTGCGAGGGTTGCTGAATCACGAGCCGAGCGGCGAATCTTTCCATTGCGCTCGCGACCGCCTGACTGTTGCGGTTCTCTGTTAGGGTGCCATCACTAGCCTGATAGATCTCGATCGACCCTTTTACGAGCTTTGCGCTGAAGTCAACGAAGGCGACAATAGATGACGCAAGACCGATGGCTGTTACCGGATCCAACATCCTGAATCATATGAGTTAGAGGCCTATCCCTTTGGCTGTTGATAGTTTGGTCGGGATACGGTGGATGAGATGTCAGACGACTCTCAAAATAGTTAGAGGTTTTTCAAGCGACAGAACAGAATGGGTTCTGGGGCTTAGCTTTTCAGCTTCCCCCCAACCGACCGCTGACATCCAGTCAATGGATAGGTGCCATGTGGCATGCATGCGCCCGCCTTGCTTGGCGCCTAATCAAAGACGGAGCCGACGGTTTCCGAGAATTATTCTACGAGGCCTGTTCGTAATATGGCCATAGCTGCCTGCAGTAGACGCCGCATTCGAAGATGAACGCAGAGTACTGGTGGCTAACTGATGATAACAGCAAAGTTAGTAGGGAAGTTGAAGTATCAAGTAAATATCACACATACAGCCTGATTTCCCGGATTGGGCGGAGTATGCGTATGTTTGCTAAGCAGAGTAAACAAGCAACACGTGTTAATGGATAGCCATTCAAGGGCCCGCAAAATAATAGGCAGAAGTGCATGTCAGCCTCAGCGTATACAGCCACATTATTACTGGATGTAAATACAATAACCTACTTGCAGGTTGTAGACGTCTCAGTGACAAGGCTTGCGGCATGAATGTGCGTTTTAAGAGCCGGCCTACGTTGTCTTAAGTAATCGGCTTCATGCTGTGGCAGTTGCTTAGATGTTATGGCATTATCTTTAAGTTATGAGTTAGATGTGCTATTTATAGTTGAAACTTGTGGCTGAGAGCTTAAATCAGCAGAGAGATATTAGTTCCACCAGGAGAAAGCGACACCGTCAGTTTATCAGTGCGGGAGCGGAGAGACCAACGGACATGCCTAATTGGGTATTTCCGTGGCCATCTGTAGGAGCAATAAAATGGCAACAGAAATCCTGACTTCTTTCTAAGCTAGAATCTCGTTATCGAGAAGCTACTGAATTAATTTTAAACGGTCTAATTAAGAATTTGTGTACAACCCAACCCCGGAAAATGCCGAAAGAACTCCAGGCTTTGGACGCTATGTCGATGCCCCGTCATCGGCAAAAACATGCTAGGAAAGTGTCAGAATTCATAGTCTTACTCGTGTTTATCTTTTGCTTCACTTACCAACAGCGACTCCTCGAAAGCTTCAGATGATGCATTTTTCCCTTTGCCGAATCCCCCACCCACCAACTGAAGTTTTCTTCTTTGGCGAAATACGACATCAGCCTGGAAACTGTTAGTGAGAACGACAACCGCACCGCTTGCTCCCGGGCCTGTTCAACAGTTTTTGCCGTGATGTATCTCACAACAACGACTTGAGATTCTTGACCGAGTCCAAGCGCTCTCCCAATCGCCTGCTCCTCGATAGACGGGTTCCATTGCGGCCCCAGGAGGTAAATACGTGATGTAACAGCATCTGCCAAGGAGTGAGAACTAAGAGGACATTGCACTATCAGATTCCCTCAAGGTCTTGATGTGTTTAGTGAGCGTTCGCGAACCATGGATCATGCCGTGTCTAATGGAATGTTTGCTGACGAGGAAAAGTGTTTTCTTCCAAGAAGAAAAGACGACTTTGAGAGATTAAGAGATCAGCATATTCTAATTGATAAATTTGGCTGTCAGACTGTTAGAGCTGAAGAAGCCTATCCAATCTTGTAACCTTTACTGGCGCTTGAGCATTAAGGCATGTTTTCCTTTCAATAACTAGCCTTATCTATATTTAGAATGCCTATTTTTAGCCCTCAAATCCTACCACCAACATTCAGGCGGCTTGTGCCCTTATCACCCGGGTGGTATTTTTGTCTTCTATGACCTGGTCTCTTTCTTTTCATTCCACTGGTTGTTCTTCCCACTCGAATCACAAGGAGACATATCGAGCCAACAGACTGAACTAATTCATTTTCTTCTTAGACTTATTTTCTATTGCAAACTAATAGCGGGAATGGTCACTATAGGTATATCTGACTTTAAAAACAGTGCTTGAAAAATTCAGGCAAACTTTGAGAAGCAAGAGGAACCTCGAAAGGTTTAGGACTACAACAATGAACTCATTGAAAGACTGTATTGCGTAAATACAGACCCAACAACATGTTGGCTGTCGACTCTATTGCAGGATCTAAACCGTCTGGCGCCTTTTTTAGAGGCGGTTAAGCAGTATGGTGAGCTGGCTAAAAGCGGGCCGTTTAGGAAAGAAAGATTAGGCATCTAAGCAGCTGTCTTGGATGCCATTGGTTGAGGTCCGGTAGATATTGGGGAATGTGCCCAACACTATCCCTCTTCTTCCACTTTTTCTGTCAGACCAACAGCATAACAACTCTTGGAAGCTTTGATTTGTCCTCATTCAGTCGCTTGCGACTGATGGCTCAGGCCTAAACCTGAGCTAATGCAATTCTGCAGCCGCCTTATTTACTAGGACTTGACCCACCGATGCGTGAAACATGCCAATCATGGCTCCTTAACCTCCTTCATGGCCAAATTCTTCTTTTTGAAATTGGATCGCATGGTAAACGGCCTAGACGGCCCAGAGGCGCTGAGTCGTAATAGTGGAGAAAAGGTCAGCCGTCCAACACCCTCGGCCCAACAGCTTATCACATTCTTGACAAGCTTTTATTGGCTTAGCGGTGCATCGCTCCCAACTACCAAAAGACAAATAAACAATAACGCATCCCATTTACGCGAATTATCCAATTGCTCTAATTATCCTCGGAATTCTACTTTGCACCCTAACAATCTTGTCCACTCGATTACGATAGCACATTGTCATGAGGTTGCTGCATACCAAATCTCAAAAGCTCTTCGAAGCCAGCGATGTCCCTGTTCCATTTCCACCATATGCTATTCTGTCCCATACCTGGATATCACCTAAAGATGAAATCACGTACCAAGATATGAAAACAAGAACCGAGGACATCAAGAAAAACGTGTACAAACAAAAGGGCTGGTCAAAATTAAAAGATTATTGCGACCGCGCTTGCAAAGATGGTTGGGAATGGGCTTGGATGGATACCTGCTGCATCGACAAGACTAATCCAGCTGATACTCAAGAAGCTATCCATGCCATGTTCCGATGGTACCAAAATGCCGGTGTTTGTTATGCTTATCTGAGTGACGTGGGCTTTGTCTCTCCTTCTGAGGCTACGGATCTTGATTCCAGCATGAACAATCTTCGAACAGCCGTTAGGAATGAATTCATCGGCGCTAAATGGTTCACCAGAGGCTGGACGCTCCAAGAGCTTCTCGCTCCGCACTATCTCATTTTTGTCGACCGTCAGTGGCACCATATGGGTACTCGAGAAAGCTGGGCTCTTGAGATCGAGAAAGCTAGTAAGATAGAAGCACGTCACCTGAATGCCTTCAACCCGACAGATTTTGCGTCTTGCTCGACAGCGATGAGATTCTCGTGGGCTTCGGGCAGGGAAACGACGGTTGAAGAAGATGAGTCATACTCTTTGTTGAGTCTCTTTGGCATCAGTCTCCCTCTTATCTATGGTGAAGGGGGAAGACAGGCTTTCAACAGACTGCAGCGTCAGCTTATTCATGTCTATCACGACGACTCGGTGTTTGCCTGGAAAAGCTCCCAGCCAGATCCCAAGCCAGGGATCGGGATACTTGCCCGCTCAGTAAAGGACTTTTGGGATGCTTCGAAAGTTACAGCAGGACAATACGGCAATGCGTACTCCATGACGAACAGAGGCCTCGAAATCACTTCCAAGTACTGGAGGCAGCGAAGCAATCCCGAGGGCGTAATCGTACGTCTGAATTGTAAAATTGGGATCGCCTCCGACGCCGAGAACAAAGAGCGCGGGATATATCTCACCCACGACGCTGTGGCCAACGTCTACCATCGGGAACGCATTCATGAGCTCTGCGATATAAGCCAACTTAATCTCAGTGATTGGTATGAAGAAAAATGTCGCGAGGCTCTCTTCATACGCGCCGATAACCATTTAGAGCCGGCCGCGCTTTCAGCTATGTTCGTGGTAGAATTTCCCGAGCAAATCCAAATCGTCAAAACACATGTCACCACCTTTGAACATTCTTTCACAACCCGCGGCATACAGCCCTTCAGGAATCTCACGAATGGGTCGTTGGCAAATGGAATTAGAACGAAAGAGCTGTCTATTGAGCCGAAAAGTGTAGTCTTCCTTAGCATCGAGCTCGAAGAAGATGGTACCAAATTACAATTTGATGTAATTATCAACCTCACAGAAAGTTGCTTCCCTTATGCAGGGATTCTGGGAAGGAGTGTACAGCCATGGGAACGGCTGGGAGATCCAATGGATGACGCTACAACCAACGCCATGTACAATGCATTGGCAAGTCATATCCATCGAACTCGTCCGTCGGATTCAACATACCCGTTGACAAGCACGACTAGAATGGGTAATCGGTTGATATCTACGAATATCCTTCCCAAACCTCCGCGAAAGAATGCACAAAGTCGAGGACGCAACATTACATCGAGAGAGTACATGCTGAGGATTCCAGTTTCTCAGTATGAGAACACTACTGAACGAGGTACAAGACTAAGGCCTCTAAATGGGAACGCGAACGCTGCAAAAAGACAAAGGGTATCGTATTGAGAAAGGGATATACCAGCGGCAGGGCTTTTTGAACTCGTCGCATGTAAGCAAAGGTGACAAAAGAGTGCACCGGACGATCTCAGGCTGATCTTATAGGCTCAACTCGGCTTTGATATCGGGTGGGATCATATATCGTGCCGCAACAATCAGCCTCTCATTTAGATAGATCCATTCTTCATCATCAATGCTGATGTCCTTCTCAAAAGCATCTTCCTTCCCGCTTAAGCCATTGGGACGCCAAACGATCATCACTATAGGCTATATAGTCAAACATAGAAGAAACAACAACGAGCGATAGAAGTGTAACACCATCTCAGCCTATGTGGCAGCCGGCTGCTGGAGAGATAAATGACTAATGGTAATAATGCCGCCCATTCAAAGACGATGGAATAAGGCGATGAAGAAATGTTGAGAACTGGCGCTTCAGCGCCGAGGACTCCAGAACTGGCTGGGGAGTCTTGCGATGTCATGGTAGCAAAAGACATCAGGGTTCTTTAATTATTATGTGACTTGGCACATTGAGTCTGACATCTGGTTCTTATCATACGGTAAGGCTCTTGAAATGAATGAGATTGAAGCCTAATATGACAGCCCACTCATATCATCGTCAGCACAGCCTACAGTGCGGAGTCTCGAAATGCGTCTTTGCGTAGGTAACCAATCAGCAAAAATGGGCAGGCCGGAACTCCTACGGCCATTATTTCGGTCTCATGACATGGCCTTTCCATCCAAGTAAGCAGAAATAGATTTATACTCCGTTGCGATAGTCGTTTAACCCTTTCTTTAAATGTATAAAGCCAGAAAATTGAACATTTAATTATTGCCAACGTGGTCCCACCGCGCACCCGCTATATCAGGTTATGAGGCAGTGTTGTCGCCCGCATGCAACCGCCTATGCAGCGAGACCGTTTACTGAGACGTGAAGGCGATGCATGATTCTATAGACTTTTACTTCAGCAGTAGTGTCGCCAGGGTCATAAACACAGGAGATTTACTTCGAAGCTTGAGGTAAGACGTTCCCAAAGCACTGAGAATGACCCATTTCTCGTTTTCTCCAGCTAGGATTGTATCTTGTTATTTCCAGGAAGCTAACCCCAAATACAAGTCTCAAGTATGACGCCCCATACCAAACTAAGCCGTTTCAGCGTTGGTTTAACTTAGGTTCCAGGTCCCTGATTTTCCACTGCAAATCGCGGATTTGTGCCTCCTTGTCCGCTTTGTCTCTTTCGCATATCTGGTATTGTTGAAAACAATACTGCTACTCGATGTCAAAGGCTGTAATGATAACAATTGCGATAAGGGTGGAACGGAAGTTGGAGTATCAAGTAAATATTGCACATACAGCCTGACTTCCCTCTCCGGCCTGGGAATGGGAAGAATATGCATTCCACCAAGTCGCAATGCTAGTGGATATGGCTATGACCGTACCCGTGAGCACTGCGATTTGCTGATAATATGAGTTCAGAGTGTCTGACATGTATACAATCTAGACCGCTCGGACTGATGTGGCTGAGATATAAATGAAAGGTGCTGGGGGAGATGTTTGGTATTTTCGAAGGAACTCCACCTTATTTGATCTCCTTTTTTTCTGGTTCCAGCTCATATTCAGGCCGCTATTGGCAAGGAAAAGTACGACCAATTAAAGGAAAACACGGAAGGTTACTTACGCCCGGTCTCTTAGCATTCTGCATGTATCACTTATCGCGATGTGCATCAAGGGTATGACAATACCCACATGACTGCCGTAGTGGTTGCTCAGCTTCGGACGTATTTTTGTTGATCATGGTAAGCGGGCGATATGGACCTATGGATAACCATTCAAGGCCCGCAGGATAACAGGCAGAAGTGCATGCGGTCAGCCTCAGCGTAATCGGCCAGATCATTACTACCTGCCAACAAAATAAACGATTTGCAGACTGTAGATGTCTCAGTGCCACCGCTTGCTGTGAGCTTCAACGGGATAAGCTTCCACAAACTTCAAGTTAATCCTGCCTAGATTATACCTCTCCACATCCATTTCTTGAATAGCATCATAGCTCATGCCACCGCCTTTCGATACCCTAAAGATTGACAGTAGTCGCAATAATCCGATATATCGGTTGCTCCTGTGCTCCGCTTTACTGGCACATTCGAGCAAGCTGTCGAGCCTATGGCATCGCACGGTCTGGTCACAAGAACCTCGTTGTAGGGATGACCGCATGCCAGAAATTTGCCGTAATGTTGCTTTCTTTGACACATTGCGAACTGCACTGTGCTTTATCAGTACTACGCCTAGTCGGAGCTGAGGTCTGGGTGATTGATGGCATTCTCACCGTGATTGTCTTTTGCAGGAGTCGTGTCGAGAAATGGTAGCTGCTGATGAAAGTCGCGATGAGGTGCGCTGGAAAAGGGCTGACGGGTTATCATATTCTGTTTTTAACACAGAGAGCGGCGATAGGCTGCGCACAGATGTCCGGCCACTAGCTACTCACACATTATGCATTCGGCTGCTTTCGGCCTGACCGGTCACCCGCCCGCCCGCAGAACAATAACACTGTCACACCTGACCGATCACGCTGAAGCAAAGCCTGATGGGCTGATGGCGAGGAAGTTTTGATTTTCACCCACCCTCCAAACGCACAGTCACATACTGGTTTGAGGGCTTTTAGCATATACGGCCATCGCCAAGGCCATCGAAATCCTGGTCTGCTTTTACTGTCATGTCGCTCATCAAAATACCGTTAGGTACCAAGTGCCACTCGGCTGAACTGTGTACTTCTTGCAGGAATGTCCTCGACACTTTCTTTGAGACGGAAGATTTTGTAGACAAGATTGTCCATGGTTCTCAGCATTCTCTCAGACAAGCTGTCGAACAAAACTGCCTCATTTGTTGCATCGTGTGGACCACTCTACAATTAGGACGGAGAGGAGAGTTAGCATCAAGGACGCTTCCTTCCCTCTGCAGAGCCTATGAGGTGTATTCCGACACCAGACAAGACTTCTTGATCAAGTTAGAAGTTGTCATTGAAGAGCATGATGCCTGTCATCAAGAGGTTTCATTTACGCATCCTCCAGTAAGATTTCGAATAATGCCTTTGTCTGGTAGGTCCTCTTGCACCGCTACTGTCCTATGACAAGCTTTCCACTCGTTTCTGCCTGTTCACGAGCTCGAAAGCTGGTGATGCTAGCCGAGAAACCTGCAGCTAATTTGCTAATGTAATCCTTGAAGATTCCGGTACCGCAGCCCCGCATCTAACCATCGACAGCTTGGGTGATAAAACATCGTCTCCTGCCACGCTGAGTTTGGCACGAAGCTGGTACGAGACCTGCCGGGATACTCACAGTCGGTGTGACATTCCTTTGAATGACAAACGAGGATGGAAACCCACTCGATTAATCTACTTCGGACGTGACATGGCGGATTGCTGGAAGCTGTGTAGCTCCCCCGACCCGCCTGCGCAGTACATGACGCTGAGCTATCGATGGGGCGTGCAACCGGGAACGATGCTTCTTCGACGTAACTTCGACGACTTTCACCGGGACACTCCTATTTCAATCCTTCCGCAGACCTTTCAAGATGCTATCACAGTGGCTCGTGCATTCTCCGTGGCATATATCTGGATAGACGCCCTCTGCATCATACAGGATAGCGACACGGATTGGGAGCTTGAGGCACCAACTATGCGTTACGTGTATTCCCATTCAGCCTGCAACATTGCCGCCTCTGCTGCTGCCGATCAACATAGCGGTCTGTTCCGAACAAGGCACGGAGAGAGTGTTCTCCCCGGTTTCTTCAAATCAGGAACTACATCCACCAACCACGGTACCGATAGGTTTCTGATATTCGATAAAGGTTACTGGAGTCGATATTTGAACTGCGGCGCTTTGCACAGTCGGGGTTGGGTATTCCAGGAGTGCTTGCTTGCTCCAAGAGTCGTCTATTTTGCCAAAGATCAAATTCTCTGGGAATGTCTTGTTGGAAACAAATGCGAGGGATTCCCTCTGGGAATCCCTTACCACCAACGAACCAAGGACCTCAGCCCACTCTGGGATTCTCTTGAAACCGATGTTGATCGCCAAATCTACGGAACGTCCAAACAAATGAGCTATAAAATCCATACTTTGTGGAGCAATCTTGTGGAAAGATACTCATCTTGTGACTTGACATTCAGCAAGGATAAGCTTCCAGCGCTTTCTGGAGTTGCCCAAGTTTTTGCCAGTGCAACCGGGGACAACTACGCCTACGGAATGTGGCATTCTAGAATCGTTGAGCAGCTCCTCTGGCGTGCCGCCACGCCTAATCCTGGCCGTTCCTTGCAGCAAAGCAAAGTGCCATCGTGGTCATGGGCATCGCTAGATGGGACAATAGAAATGACACCTATTCCTATCAGCTGGAAGTCTTTGGTCGAGATAGTCGAGATAAAGCATACCAACATGTTTGCGGAATCTTCCAGTCAAAGTTCCAACCCCTCGCTACGTTTGAAAGGTGCTCTCTCTGTCCTTGGAGAGTCTGGTACTAAGGATCACTCTTCTATTCGACTTGGCTCGTTGAGGCTCGGCTGTGATATCTCCCCTGACTACCATCATGTTCATGATGATAGGTCAAGTCACGCGGTTTATTTCCTTCCTACTCTTTCGGCTCATCCTTGGTATCCTGCAAAAAGATTCACTACTCAAGTGGTAGGCCTAGTTCTAGCTTTACAGGGCCAAAACACCCCTGTTAAGTTCCACCGTGTCGGACTGTTCAGTACGGACCGCTCGCATGATATCGAAAGACTTGGCCTCACCATAACACCTGAGGGATTAGCAACGCTCAAAAGGTTGGAGCATCAGCAGGAAATAGAAATTATCTAGGGTCTCATCCTCGGTTGAAAGGTAAGATGCATCTACCCAATGAAGTAGTATATATTCAATCTGTAATCTGCTCTTATAATCAAGCTCTTCGCAACGTGCCCAAATTCCAAAAGTGCTGACAAGTAGCACTGGTCTTTGCTAGCGCATTATAGAGCTCAATTATTTGCTGCATAATGCCCTTTAGTGCAGTAGTGAAGAATTTAGGGAAGCCTTTAATGTAATGCCAGAAAGCAGGAGGTTTAAAGCCTATAAAGGTTATAAAAAGACTATTTCTTAAGGCAAGACTTTAACTTAAGCCTATTATACTAATTAAAGCTAAGTTATAGTTTTAAGCTATTATTAAATATAATAGTTAAAAAGCTAAAATTGTAAGGTTTTTATTAGCTTTAAACTTATAAAGATAAATTAAAGTAAATTGAATTGAATTGAATTAAATTAAATTAACATCTTTAATTTATTTATATAATTAATAATATTATTAATTATACTAGCTATATAACTATTGGCACCTATATTTCTTCCCTCTATTCTCTCTTCTGCATTATCAAGTTCCGTTCTCATAGTTCTTATGAATCTCTATAAAGGCTTCAAAAACCTCACCGGCATTACTTCGGTCGTCTACATTATATACCAACATTTTAGACTCCACTAGCTCCCGCAATTCAAGTCGAAACTTTTCCATTCTCGGGCTTAGTTGTACGGTCGGGTCTCCGTTCAAAATACCATTTATATGCTCAATATTGTCTCGGAAGCGTCTATCTTCAGAAAGGGCAACTTCGAAAATCTGACGAACGCCAGTTGTGCCAGAGTGAAGCATTGCTTCAATAAAAGTGAAGCAGCACGCCATCGAAAAAACGTCCGATTTTTCCGAAGGACTATTTCCAGGTATTTGTTCCGGTGCTAAGTATCTTTGGCTGCCTTCGTGCTCTGTAGGGTCCCCAGCCCTATGAATTTTGCTAATGCCGAAGTCGATGATGAGAGGTGTGAGACCCTCATTCTCGTTCCACATAAGCATCAGGTGTTCTGGTTTTAGGTCCTTATGCCTGACCTTTTGAAACTTATCAACAGCTAGTCTTGGGAGGCGAACAAATGCCTCTTCAAAGTCCATGTTTATGATTGACTCCAGATATGTGGGGTCGATTATCCATAAAGTAGTTAGAAATCCGAGGCAGTGCCCGATGAAATGGGGCCATATATCGGGGTTTCCAAGCGGATCCCAAGGCGCGATGGCCTTCGCATCTTCGCCATACAGCATCACATTGACGAGATCCTCCAATGACAATTTAGCCCAAGGTTCCAGGATGATATAAAGGGCAGGATCTTCCTTATCCTGGCCAGGTGAAGATTGCTGGAGAGACTGACCGCCTTCAACGTAGAAGGCGGCTTTAATGAACGGAATATACCATGATGCGATGTTGTCCAGAAGCTCAAGCTCGGTTTTGGCTACCCGGGTCAGAAATCCCCGCCTTGTTTCTGAGAATTTCATTTTCTTGCAAGCTAGTTGTTCACCATCCCGTTTAGGATAAGGGATTGCATAAACGACACAGGAGGATCCCGGCTTTATCTCAGTCTCCGTACCCGGAGCCAGGTTGTAAAAGGAGTTATCGTACCGGGCATCGCTGATTGAGTTCAGGACCACAATATTTAGCCCTTGGAGGTCGCGGGGAAGAGGCATTTTGATGATATTTGCAGATATTGAGAGACGGACTTTTCTCTTGATTGTGCCTCTGGAATCGTGTACGGTTAATGCAAATAATTGCGACGAATGGATAAAGTTCGATATAGGTCCAAGCAGTCGTTGAAATCGGAGAGATTCGAAGGAGCGGGGTATGCGAAAGGCCCCGATATTGATTAGACAGGTCGGCAGCCTGGTAGAGTTAAAGATGTCAAAGTATGGGCTACTAAGAGATAATAGCTTGTTTAGGTGTGAAAAGATTTGATTGCTGTCTCCAGAAGCGGGATTGTGATTGCACTTATATTACCTTCCCTCTGCTGGGATGCCTCAGGTTGTGTTGGTCGGGCTGAGCCTGACAGATGCGGCACAAAGTCACACGACGTCAGGTATTGGCGAGAAGGATACCTTTATCCTGAGGTATGTCAGCCACTGAACCACCGTCAGCATCAGCAAAGCCGACTGAGCGGGCCCTGATATGCCTCCTTCGCAGGTGAGCGATCAGCAAAACAGGGCATGTCAGAACTCCGACGGCCCTTATGTGAGCCAAGTGACATGTCAAAGTCGGCAAAATGCTTTCAATCTGTCGCAAAGATGGTTAATTCATGCTTCAAACTTATAAATACAAAGGCCTTGAGATTTGAGTACTGCCAACATGAGAACACCCGTTATATCGGGCTCCGAGGCTTTGTCGTTACCTGCATGACAAGACTTAGGCAGCAAAGCGGCTGACTGAGGTTTTACAGCGATGTTTAATGCTATTGGACATCATTTGGAGGGTGGCGTTGGACTCCTACATACAAGATAATTTCTTCGCATGAGCACCACTGACGATAGCCTGTTGTAATTCAGAGGTCGAGACACGGAATCAAGTGATAAGCTCTAAGTTACATAATGCCAAGTACTTCAATACTATTTATAGTCAACAAGGCTTGGGGCTGAGATGCGGAAGTAAGGGATAGATTTGTGGCTTGCATAGCGTGTAAGAAAGAAACACAGAGCCTGATCTTCGCAAAATCAGGCTGCAGGTCTTTTTTCTTCCTCCTTCCATTATTCTATCATCTTAACTTTTGTTATCGAAACTCATGAAATAGCCTGAAGCATGGACAATGCGTGGCATGAAGACCCTGGCTTGGAGTTCGTGAAAGAACAAATTTTCAAGCACCTGAAGGCTCATAACGATACTGCATTACGCACTATCCGGGCTCCGTCTTTTGTCGGAAGTCCAGAGATTCGCGGCACGATGACCATTCTTTGGAGTTGCGTCATCACTCTTATCGCTTGCCTATACACAGCGCTTCATCTTAACGTACCTGGCGATACAAAGGCTCTTCCAATGTTTCGGGAAAAGTTCAAATGGGTAGTGATCGGGCTCGTGGCTCCAGAAGTCGTGCTTTATCTTGCTTCATCACAGTTTCTTGACGCCCGACGACTTTCCAAAGAGCTGACGCTTTTATGGCGGCAGCAGCACCAGTCTGAAACCGATAGCACCCTATTAGGCGAATCAGAAGAACAAAATGGCATCAAGGTCAGAATACCCGATTCATATGGTCCTTCTGGTTGATGGCTAATGAACTAACCTAGGTTCCGTGTTTTGACATAAAATATGGCTTTTTTGTAATAATGGGTGGCCTCGAGGTCGACGTCAGCAAGTTTGAGCATTTCACAGGACATTGGGCCGCTCGAGGAACACTGCAATCTGGCACATTACGGCTATCAGTCAACGGTGTCCTCCAACTTGCAAGAATGGGCCACTTTCTTCCCATTGAAAGATCCAAGATCAACGACAAAAGCAAAGCTGATACCTTGCAAAAGATGCTTGTCATGACGCAGGTCACTTGGATGGCAACTCAGTGTATTTTTCGTTTGGGATATGGACTTCCTATCTCGCTCTTGGAAATACACACAATGGTACATGTTATATGCGCTGTCGTAATGTTTATGTTCTGGATCAAGGTCAGCTCTCACTTATCCTACGCGGGAGCTTTATACTAAATGTTTCTAACTAGAAGCCAAAAGACTTGTTGGATCCAGATTGGGTCGACACAACCAAATTTGAGGACATCATTGCCCTCATGGTTCAAGAGCAGTTTCACTGGAACAAAAGCGACGAATTCATTTTATATGCGAAACCTCCAGCCGATGAAGACAATGATATCCAAGAGCAAGCTGCGCTAGTCTGGGTGCACTCTACTGATACGTCTCGGCGCAAATATCTTCAAGATGAACAAAGTTTACCTCAACAAATTAATTGCGTTGAAGATGATGGTAATCGTATCATGTTGAAAACAGGCGAGGTTCTCCCTTCTGGTCTTGGGGTTGTTGCCAGATCTTCTAGCTGGGAAACGGAGACTATTCAGCGAAAGGTTCTGCCCTCATGGTACGATGAACATGGATACGATGACCCTTGGGATATTCCAGACAGCATTTGGATTACAGAATGGGTTGAGGCTGAGCCAGTCCCCCCGACCGTGGATCTGTATCCCGAGGATATTCAGCGATGGACCCATGTTATACGAGCAATCGAGAATCTCGACGGGCAAATCCAGGAGCCACAGCCGTTCCGTGGCAGTCATCAAAGAGCTCGATATCAGGATCAAAACTTTCACAACGCGTTTTTACGATCCGCAGGCAACTTTCAGTACTCAGAAGAAAGCCGGGTTGACCCAGATCAGATTCTTAGCTTTATTGTCGATAACCCCATCTTGCTAGTTCTCCTCCTCGTTCTCCCTGGTCTATACGGCGGCATCCATCTTGGAACAGCACAAGTACTGTTCCCCACTGATCTCGAGAAGCTTCTTTGGAAAATTGCATCTATTGACATCATCGTCTCGATGCCCATATTCCTATTGATATCTGTCCTTGGCCTTGGCTTTTCCCAACGATATCTCAAGTACGAATCTATTACACATGACTCATGGGCCACTTTTTACAAATTTCCGGCACATCTTATTTTTCTCGCATACAGTCTCTCAAGAATGTTTCTCGTCACTGAATCCTTTATTAGCCTCAGAGCGCTTCCGATAGGTGCTTACTGGACACCTTCGTGGTTACAGATGATACCACATGTTTGACGCGATGCCTACGTTTTCTACGGTGCGACTTAGAGCTTGGGATATCCTCCATAAAGCTCCCATTGCACTCATCAGTCAGTACATGTGACTCCTTGACAGTACGTAAGTATTTTTTATAATATACTCTTCTCTTCACTATGTCCCCAACTTACTCCCTATTTGCAGAAATACAATATTGGACATTAAACTGCTGGCGTGAACCAGAGTAGTATTATGCGGTTATGCATCTAATTCAAACAAATTAATACTATCAACAACCTTGGAAACAAGGGCCCGGCGAGCAATGAAATTTGGTTCTTAGCGCTGTGCTCGCTGAATGTTAGGGCGTTGAAGGCGTAGCTGAAATTCCAACTTTACAGCTTATCATTGGCTCTTATCCGCTTTAGCGCCCCATCGGGAGTGTTCCGTTACGCCATTTGTAACGATGAGACATTGACAAGAGTCGAGAACTCAATAGATCAACTAGCGTTTCAATAGCTATGTGATTATGTAGGAGACTGCAGCTTTATGGCTAAAAGGCTTGAAATATTGAGCATGTGAGCGGCAGACTGGGATTTCACTGGGGAAGCCAGCTGCGGGCGTCGACACCTTATAAACTCAGTGCCGCATCCAGCAATACTGAAATAAATCTGATAACGCGAGCTTCTCGACTCTGTTCCCTTTCAAGCTTTACAGTGAAACTTTGGTCTTAGATAAAGACATTTATTTATCCCAGCATCAATCTGCTACTTTCATCCAGACGGAAGTACAAAATAAGTCTTCGTTTTACTTTATTTATCTACGTGTCATTTATAAAAACAATGACAAGCCTAAACCCAAACCCAAACACCGACATCCCAACTCCCACGGTTGATGCGGCAACTTACTACGACGTGGCTAGCCAGCAGTTGAATCTCGTCGTTAGTTACTCCAGCGGCATACACAAAAGACCAGATAGCGTAGAAGTCCACTTGATTACAAGCCCATCTGCCACTGCTACCGAAGTCGGCAATGGCCCCCCCACGTTTCCAGTAAACTCAAACACGGGAACCATAGTCTTTCCACTGGCATTGGATTTGGCTTCCCAAGGAGGACAGCTCATCGTCGCTGGTCTAGACAGTAACTTATGGCAATCGAGCCCTCCCGCTGATCCCTGGCAGATTCCCGCAATCAACTCGTCGCCTTTTACTAGCGGCCTCTCAGCCACCTTTACTTCTCTCGGGTCTGTTGAATTAACTTGGGCCTGGATTCCGGATATGGGTGCAACCGCACAACAGATCACTCTGACTATTGAGGGACAAACCCTTGCCCCAACGATGGTCAAAAGACCGACTGTTACTACCACTTTCACCATGGCCCAAGCCAACAATCTATTCACGCCAGGCCGAAAGTTCATCATCCAATGCACTCCCATTGCACCCGGGCTATGGGCCACCCCAGTGAATACCACCTTTTCTATCCCCAAGTCCAATTCAATGTCGTCTATCTCACTGAACAACCAACCTCTTGTATCCTCTGAGTCTACAATGACAAGTCTCTCTGCGCAAGGAACAAATACAATGGAGGTCTGGTGGGGAACTCCTCAGGGAGCCATTCAGACAGCCAAATTCCCTCTCCAAAACTTCCAACCAGAAACAACGCAATTCGCCGGTACGTCGACAGTTTCTGGTTCAGGATCTTGCCTGGCTTCCGCATCTGTCAGCTCTACCAACCAGCAGGTTTGGTGGATTACGGAAACCGGGGCTATTGATGGACAAGTGAACAATGGCAAAGAATGGGCGCCACCTGGCACAGGACCTGGGGAGGCTTTCCCCTTCAATAAGGCTAGCACAGCTTCAACAGTCAATGGGGGTTCCATGGCAAGTCTCATACTACAGTACAATAACGGAGCAATCCTTTTCTGGGTTGATCCCAAAGGTGCTATCGGTTGCTGCAGATGGATGGCTAGCT